TTTTTTTTTTTTTTTTTTTTTTTTTTTTTTTTTTTTTTTTTTTTTTTTTTTTTTGTAAAGAAAGTTCTTCTACGAGCCTATTATTTCGGGAAAAAAAGGAAAAAAAAAAGCCTTTTATTTCGAAGAAAATAAAATGTTGTTTTAAAATTAGATTTTTGTTTGGAGGAAATAGTCGTCCACCGAAAGGTCAAACTACTCCAAATCTTACGTAGGTTCTTATGGTTCACAGTGGGCCCCCACACTCTATATAATCCCAACGTACTCATCCACTTATCCTTATTTAAAAAAATAAAAATAAATCAATTAAAAAAAAAAAAAAACAGAAATATGAAATATGCTCTCACGACATTGGTGATCTTACTAGCAGTTTTTGCACCCATCTCCTGTGCTACAACAGAGGTTCCTGCAGAAAAGTCGCGATTAGAAGCTTGGTTTTCGGAACATGTGAAGCCCTTAGCGGCGCGCAAGGCGGATCTTGATCCCGCCCTTGTGGCCGCTGAAGAAAGCTCCACCGTCGTGAAAGTAAGGGCCGACGGAAGTGGAGATTTCAAGACTATCACCAAAGCCATTGCCAGCGTTCCTGTTGGTAACACCAAGCGCGTCGTGATTTGGATTGGAGGAGGGGTTTATAAAGAGAAGGTTACGATCAATAGGAATAAGCCATTTATTACCCTTTATGGCTCTCCTAACAATATGCCAAACTTGACATTTGATGGAGACGCTACAAAATACGGCACCATTTACAGTGCAACTTTGATAGTTGAGGCTGATTATTTCGTTGCTGCAAATCTCGTGATTGAGGTAATTTGTTATTTGTTAATTAAATGCGTTTTGGGTTAATTGGGTGTCGTTTTTTGATAATTTTTTTTTAATACAATCAGAATTCATCTCCAAGGCCGGAAGGGATAAAAGGAGGTCAGGCATTAGCGGCAAGAATCAGAGGTAATAAAGCTGCAATTTACAATTGCAAGTTCATAGGATTTCAAGACACCCTGTGCGACGATGACGGGTTGCATTTTTACAAAGATTGCTTCGTCCAGGGCACAGTGGACTTCATCTTCGGGAAGGGAACGTCCCTTCATTTGAACACTCAGATGAACGTGGTGGGAATCGGGGGATTGGGAGTGGTGGCAGCTCATTCAAGAGAAAAGGAAGATGACCCGAGTGGATATGTGTTCGCGCATTGCAGCATCACAGGAACAGGGGGGAAAAACACTTATCTGGGAAGATCATGGAGGCCATGGTCTAGAGTTGTGTTCGCCTACACCAGCATTGCGGACATCCTTCATCCTGAAGGCTGGGACGACATGAACAACCCCGCTTATGACCATACGGTTTTCTACGGAGAATACAAGTGTTCGGGGCTGGGAGCGGTATCCACCGGCCGTGCCAAATTCGGGAAGCAGCTCACTAAAGCACAAGTGAAACCCTTCATCAACCTTGATTTCGTGCACGCCCACAAGTGGTTGCTTCCTCCTCCCAAACTATAGGCTTTCACAATTGCAGGAAGAGTGGCAATATTCTCACATACACCAAATAGGTTAATGGTTAATTAGCTCATTCCTTTTCTTTTTTTTTTTTTTTTTTTTCTTGACAATAATGTAACCTTATCCATTCATTTTGAATTGTAATGAGAAATAAATAAAATTCTATTTCGGGCTCTGTTTCACTATTCATCATCCCCTACACAGCATGATACGCCCAAATTTTGAGGTTAAGGTTCCTACTCTGTCCAATCCGACTTTTGAAGTTAAGGTCCCTACTTGATGTCTAAGTACTTACTCGTGGTCCCTACTCATTGTCCCGATGCACCATCCAACAAACCATATCATGTGTGCATTGGAAGGGAAACAAAAAGGGATGATGCATCATCCAGCAAACCATATAATGTGTAGATTGGAAGGGATGTTGGAATGCGTAAAATGACTGCGCTTAAAATCCTATTTAAATATAACCTGACTACCTCCCGAAATCAGGGAAGGGAAGGGAATACAGGGTCCTCTTCAGTCGCTTCTCTTTGGGCTGCCTTGAATTCCCCTCGGCCGACTGATTGATCTGATCCTTTCTTTCTTGCTTTCACTGCTCTTTCTCCTTTACTGGTATGGAGTCAGATGCTAGAAAATTCATTTCTAATAGATAATGCTACAAAGAAAATCGATACACTAGTTCCTATTATTACTCTGCTTGGATCATTGGCTAAAGCGAAATTTTGTAATGTGTTAGGGCATCCCATTAGTAAGCCGACCTGGATCGATTCGTCGGATTTTTCTATTATTGATCGATTTGTGCAAAAATGGTCACAACGCATCGTGGAGAGTTTGCACCGGGAGTTGCTCTTCTAATAGATCTACAAGCTCAATCTATTAGATCTACAAGCTCAAGGGTGTGTACATAAAATATAGTACCCCATATCGAAGTGCAGTTGCTCTTCTTCATCAACCTAAAACCATACAGATGGAAGAAGCCCAGAAATGTGATTTCTTTTATGCTGTTAACGATCTCTTTTAGGAACAAACCGTGTTTGCAGATGCCCCGAACAGAGTACACTGGAAATCGAGTTCAAATATATATATATATATAATTCTTTTGATTTGTTAAGATTTCAAATCAAATTTATTCAAAATGCAATGGAAAAAGAATTTATAATTTGAGGACAAAGAGTTTATAATTTGAGGACAAAGAGTTTATAAGAAACATTATTGTTGAAAGGGAAAGAAAAGAAGGAATGAGCCAATAATAATCATGAACCCAATTGGGTGCAGAGAGAGTGTTAAAAATCTTATGCCCTCCCTACAGCTTGGGGGGAGGAAGCAGCCACTTTTGGGCCTGCACGTAATCAAGGCTGAGGAACGGTTTCACTTCTGCATCACTCAGCTGTTTGCTGAATTTTATGCGGCTGCTCGTCTCCGCTCCCGGCCCCGAACTCTTATATTCTCCGAAGAAAACCGTCTTGTCGAAATCAGGGTGGTTCATGTCGTCCCAGCCTTCAGGATGAAGGACGTCGGCAATGGTGGTGTACGCAAACACAACTCTGGACCAAGGCCTCCAGGATCTTGCCAAATAAGTGTTAGGCCCGCCCGTGCCTGTAATGCTGCAATGCGCAAACACATACCCACTCGGGTCGTCTTCCTTTTCTCTTGAATGCGCTGCAATCACTCCCAATCCCCCTTCTCCCACCACATTCAGCTGACTGTTCAAATACAGGGACGTTGCCTTCCCGAAGATGAAGTCCACGGTGCCTTCGATGAAGCAATCCTTGTACACATGCATCCCATCGTCGTCGCAAAGGGTGTCTTGAAACCCTATGAACTTGCAGTTGTAAATTGCGGCTTTATTACCTCTGATTCTCGCCGCCAATGCCGGACCTCCTTTTCTCGCATCCGGTCTTGGAGAAGTGTTCTGATTTTATTCAAAAATTGATTAGAAAACGACACCCAATTAACCCTAAAAGGCATTTAATTAACAAATTACCTCGATCACGAGATTGGCAGCAACAAAATACTCAGCCTCCATGGTCAAAGTTCCACTGTACACGGTGCCGTATTTTTTGGAATCTCCATCAAATGTCAATTTTGGCATATTCTTAGGGGAACCGTAAAGGGTAATGAATGGTTTATTTCTCTCGATAGTAAGCTTCTCCTTGTAAACTCCTTCTCCAATCCAAATCACGACGCGGTGGGTGTTACCGGCTGGAACGCTGGCGATGGCTTCGGTGACAGTCTTGAAATCTCCACTTCCGTCGGCCCTTACTTTGACCACGGTGGCGTTTTCTTCAGCGGCCACAAGGGCTGGATCAAGCTCCGCCTTGCGAGCGCTTAAGGGCTTCACGTTTTCGGAAAACCAAGCTTCTAATTGCGACTTTTCTGCGGGAACCTCTGATGAAGGAGAGGCGGAGGTGGCGCCTGCGGGGGGATCCGGTGAAGTAGCAGCGGAGGGGCCTTCTGCGGAAACCGGTGTAGCAGAGCAGGTGCCTTCTGCGGAAGCCGGTGATGCAGCACCGCAGTTGGGTTCTTCGGAAACCGGTGGTGTAGCAGCGAAGATGGCTGCGAAAGCGGCTAGGAAGATAACCAATCTGGTGAGAGCGACGGCATTAATGCAATATTCCATAGTTCTGTTTCTCTTTTAATTAATTAATTAATTATTTTATAGTTTACTTTTTAAATCTGCATTTCGAATAACGGTGGGGTCCGTTGAATTGCAGGAATCAGATGGGGATTATATAGCAGTGAAGCTTAAGAACGGAGCAGTTTATGCTTTCCGTTTTAGCTGCCGCACTTTAAGAGATTGGTTAAACTACAATTAAACTAAATCTTAAATTAGACAATAAATTTTCTTTTAAAAATTAT